TTTCAGAAGATCTGTACGTGTCCGAAACACGTGGCGATGATGAAGATGGAGACGGCACGTCCTGTAATCCATTTAAGACTATTCTTCGGGTAAACAGAGAAGATATGATATCCCCTCTCCCAGATGACTAACTTGGACGAGTTTTAGGCAATGCATTTTCACGGCTCAGAACCATTTCCTCAAATATGGTTGGAAATGACCGGCGAGGACGAAGTAAGCATAAGCATGAATTGCATTCCGTTCTTTATATCGCATGTGTTTTTCTTCCTATAGCAGTGGAAAAAGGCTTCAATGTCGCAGATGAAAAAAATCAGGAAAATATGGATTCGGGAAGTAAACAAAGCAAACGAAAAGCTTCAAAAACAGGTATTGAATGTGGAATTACATTAAATCAGTATGAATAGCTAATCCTGTGAGGAAGTACTCATGTTTTTCAGTTTCTTTAATATCTTCGTTCTGGCCTAGTAAACTTCTGCCGTCGTTATGCAAAGAGTGCGAAATCACACAGAAACGCCCCTAAGCCTGATTCTCTATTACCCTTTAGTCGCGAAATTGTCCTTATTTCTGTCCAAAAGATATGCCGTGATGAGTTCCTATGCCTTAGAAATATTAGTACGTACAAATACACACTGACTAATAACACTACTCTGATTCACTATAATGATAAACAAGTTTTCTTCCGATTGCTTTATTTCACAGAGATTTTAACCTGCCAGCATGATACTGCAGCAGTTAAACTTAAACTCATTACCGTTTTCGAGAATATCCCCAACAAACGCCAGTTCTTTGCTTTCTTGTTTTCTGAAAGCGGTACTCCTAAATTTGATAGGCCACATTTCTTTTTTGAGCTTGCACAGTGTTAAAGGAGGGTGCCACCGATGTAACCTGCTAATATTGTGTGTTTAGTAAGATATATTGGGAATCAAATGATAATAGCCATAATATTTACTTCTTGTGTAGAACAATCTTCTGTAGTAGGGTATTGCCAACTAGAGGAAATGTGCTAAGATATAATTTCATATTGCTGTGTTATTATTCTGTTTTCGCAGCGAATCACCTCCCATTCGACTCGAGGTGTAGTCCAAGCTTGCTGCTGCCACTGCCCTCCTGGCGTGACCGCTGACTATGATGAAGTAGACTCACTGCCCGTTCTTTCGGTGAATGGTTTGTCGATAAGACAATTATTGACTTGATTTATGCCGAAAACACCGTAGTATTTGTTCCAGAATCCACAGACTTCCATGGTATCTTTCACCATTGCAGAACGCTACACATACGCCTTGTTTCTAGTCACAGAATACAAATGTGTCAAAACTGCGC